AGAACAGTTTGAAATACAATATGCTGAGCTTGCTTCTAGCAGCACACAGCTTAGACAGGAAATTTAGCATTGTAATCAAATTTACATCAATTAGCCCCGGGAAGCATAAACTAGTTTTATATACTAGGAACGAAACGAATCGCACATGTCTAGTGGCCAATCTTAGGGATTCTTGACCAAGTGATATGGGGATGGTAAACAATCATTTAATATGTATCTAAAGCTGATATTATTTATTTTTATAAAGTAGGAAATGCTTAGAAACCCCATCAGGTTTTTTTCTGCCTGTGTCCCTTTGCCTCCTATCGCGGAGAAGCAACAGGAAGTGTAGGAGATCTATCTGAAATAAAGGGAGATACCCACTTGGACGGCTGCCACTGGAACAGGTGTCCCCATTGGAAGATACCCCCTCTATTCCTGTTTTGCAGACAACTGGCTTAAAATTATCCAAAATGGATGATTGCTATGTACTTTTGGACAGGTTAGGTGAAGGTGTCTAGGATGCCCTATGTTCCTAAACACCACCAAGTGAAAGCAATCCTTATGCAATCATCTAAAGTGAACAGTCCAGGCAAGCCAGCGCTCCATCCACTGGTTAAAAAAAGAAAACTTTATGTGCACATATTGGGTAAAGAGGTGTGCCCTGCTAATGCATTCTGGCCAATACTGGCCTTAGTTGTAGCCAAAGGTCCATCTACTCCCATAAATACCCCTCCAATCTAGTGGAAGAGCATCTGGAAGAGGTGGGATTGGGAACCAGAAGCAAATATCAATATTGATCATGCCTGGCCAAACTAAAAAAATACACAATATATTCTAATAGATTCTCTCTCTCTCTATATATATATACACACACACATTTATGTTATATGGGTGCCACATGTCTACTAAGAACAATCAAAATTATGAAGAATATAAATACAAAAGCAGAATAAGAGACCCATTAAATATGCAAATCCAAATATCAACGCTGATTAAGAAACTCCCAGCCATGGTTAAGACCATTTTGGTACCCCAGTATGAAGTTTGATGATCCAATATGACTCTCTCTGAAGCAGCAGCCATCTAAAGTGCACAAAATAATATCAACTTTCATCATATTCTCAGTTTACCTGCCGTTCTGGGTTTTTCTCCATCCTACAGTGTGCCTCCTCTTCCACAGCCACCTGCCCCATCACTATTTGGGGGAAAAAAGCTCTATAAACCTCTGTGCTTGCCGGAATCCCACTTCTGGGAGCCCGGCTGTTATAAGGAATCAATGAATGAACAGGCCTATGGTATCCTGGGAGATTCCCATGAGCCAGATCCCACTTTAATTTCATAATCACCCTATCAGCCAATAGGAAATGTTATAGTCTAGCATGGACACAGTATAATACATGGCAGATCAATACAAACCACAAACGTTATCACTGCTTACATCAGGGGTGGACAAATTCATATGGAATTCAGGAGCCAGCTGGCACCTGACATTTGAGGGTTTTCTCTGGTTTCTATCAATGGAGCGGACTCCTAAACAATCCTGCTGGTTCCTGGATTTTTTTAGGAGTCAGCTCCATTGACAGCGACCAGAGAAAACCCTCAAATGTCAGGTGCCAGCTGTAAATTTTAAGGAGCATTGGCTACCTGACTCCTGGGATTTTTCCAGCCCTGATCTATAGTAGCTAACAGTAAGCTAGCACCCCCCCAATCACAGTGACTGCTCCATAACCTGATGTTACATATGGTTACAGATCTAAAGTTCCCACGTTGAATATATAATGAGGTGACTTTTGCAGTACAGCTGATGAACTGAAGAACAGGTAATACTTACCGGCAAATAAGAACCCTGCTTCCAAAAGATCCGACTCAAAAACATTCCTGGAACTTCATAAAATGCTCAAAACCTTTCTTTATGGAAGAATAAAAATGTAGACCAACAAAGCGACCTAGAAAGGCTGCGAGGTTTTCCCAAAACCAGAACACGGTCCAGAAATTCCAGAAGTAAAGGTGTGACTGATTGACTGATCTGACCCCGAGACCCACTGGAAGATCTTCAGAACTGTCATCTATCACAAAGCGGTATTTTTAGCCCTTCCTGACAGAATAATTATAATATGATTATCTATTATTCAGCTCCCATTGTCGATTTCCTAGCTGTTCTCTGAATGCACAGAAGGTGATCTCGTCTCGCAAAGGCAACATTTAAATTCACACACCTGAGGGCAACTAGAGGGAATGCAGGGCCTGGAATTCTACCAATGCGGAGTGTGGCTTGTCATGCTACAACTGGCCCACTAGAGGGCACTGATGACATGAACTCACACAACCTTTGGTGACACTATAATAACCGAGGAGCTGACACCTTTTTGATGGTTAGACAAATTAGTATTAATGACCTAATAAATCAGCAGTGACACCTATACAATAGTACGAGTCTCCTGAAGGCGTGCTGACACTAGGGCTGATGTCTGCATTGTGGCTTACTATTTCTAAGACATCTTCAACCACATATTATTATTATACAGGATTTATATAGCGCCAACAGTTTGCACAGCGCTTTACAATATAAGGAAGACATTACAATCACAATGCAATTCAAGACAAGATGGTAAGGAGGGCCCTGCCCGTGAGGGCTTACAATCTAAAAGTGAGGGGGAAGTAATACATGAGGAGGTAGCTGTGTGGGGATGAATTTGAGAAAGTGATAGTTCAGTGGTTAGGTTGAGGTGGGATAGGCTTCCCTGAAGAGTTGAGTCTTAAGGGATCGCCTAAAGGCAGTCAGTGTTGAAGACAGACGGATAGGTTGGGGGTACAGAGTTCCATAGGATGGGAGAGACTCTAGTGAAGTCCTGGAGGCGAGCATGGGAGGAGTTGATGATGGAGCTGGAAAACATGAGGTCTTTTGAAGAGCGGAGGGGACGGTTAGGGTATCTGAGTTGGGGTACCCACTAGATCAGTGGTTCTCAACCTGTGTAACCTCAGGACCCACATTTGTCCTCGATCATTAAGTCGCGACCCAAATCGCACTGCAATGGAACGCACGGCAGTGTGGGCTGCTGTGCTGTGATGGAGCTCCATCCATATGTGCATTGCTTGTACAGCTCCTATGCGGCCCTGTAGAGGTTCCGGGAGCCAGAATGTGATGTCGCTCCAGTCCAGGCACCTCTACAGGACATGTGAGGGAGCTGTAAGCAATGCATGTATGAGCGGAACTCCCTCGCAGCCATACCCCCAGCCCACCCCAAGTCAACACTCAGCGCCGGGCAGCATATTTTGAATGGCTGCTCGGTGCAAGAATGGACGATGCTGCACTATGGGGAGGCTAAGGAGCCTCAAAACTAGAAAAGTGGAAGGCATGCGGTGACCCACTGAACATGGGGTCGCGACCGACTTTTGGGGCACGACCCACCAGTTGAGAACCAAGGCACTAGATGTAAATAAGGATATAAAAGTGGACCTTTAATCAGATATACTGTATATTATCATGTCAACAACATACATGTTAGTTAATGGGCATGTTTAACACTTCAAGGTATTTATTACCTGCTCTAGACATCACAGCACAGCCCTGACAATGCCCTTATCTGATTTTTATTCAGCGCAGCAACTTCTTGGATATTACCAGCACGTCTGACCAATCTGGGTTGTTCTTATTAGTGTCACTTTTACATTATGTTGCAATGTGACAAATTAATTTTAAAAATGACTGCCGTTTTGGAGATGGAAACTAAAGGTAAATAAGACCGATTTCTCCTTGGAGTAATTTGTGTCAGGATTGACATTTTCATTTCAAATTACTAAGATTAAATAAGTCTTATATAATGCAGCACGCTAGAGGAGTTCGTTCCCCACATTCCACCTATGTTGCTGGAGGCTGGAGCCGCCACTGTCCTAGCAACCAATGACACTGTGTAGCACAGTCACCAGCTTCCTAGCAACCAATGACACTGTGTGGCACAGTCACCAGCTTCCTAGCAACCAATGACAATGTGTGGCATGGTCATCAGCTTCCTAACAACCAATGACATTGTGTGGCACAGTCACCAGCTTCCTAGCAACCAATGACACTGTGAGGCACAGTCACCAGCTTCCTAGCAACCAATGACAATGTGTGGCATGGTCATCAGCTTCCTAACAACCAATGACATTGTGTGGCACAGTCACCAGCTTCCTAGCAACCAATGACACTGTGTGGCACAGTCACCAGCTTCCTAGCAGCCAATGACACTGTGAGGCACAGTCACCATCTTCCTAGCAACCAATGACACTGTGAAGCACAGTCACCATCTTCCTAGCAACCAATGACACTGTGTGGCACAGTCACCAGCTTCCTAGCAACCAATGACAATGTGTGGCACAGTCTCCAGTTTCCTAGCAACCAATGACAATGTGTGGCACAGTCACCAGCTTCCTAGCAACCAATGACAATGTGCGGCATGGTCACCAGCTTCCTAACAACCAATGACACTGTGTGGCACAGTCACCAGCTTCCTAGCAACCAATGACAATGTGTGGCACAGTCTCCAGTTTCCTAGCAAC